CCCTGGTACAAAAAAAGAAAAAAAAAAAAAAAAAAACATACTCACAAGCATTGTGTGGACTACAAGAGGGTGCAAAGTTAAATAAGTGCAACCCTGACACCTCTTGGAGGGAAGTGAGGCACTTAGGAGTAAGTCTTTTCAGGCTGGAGTGCCCACTCCAGACCCCTGGTCCCAAATCTCAAAGAAGAAACTGTAGGGCTTTCCCACCGAAGGCTTAAGGACCCCAATTTTTGTTTACAACCTGCCAAAAAAGGCTGGCATCTGAAACCAGGAAAAACTCTTCTGACTTTCTAAAGACATAAAAAAACACACTTTCTCAAATCCTTAAAACACGCCCCTGGTCAGTCCCCCTCCCCTGTCCCAGTGCCCCTGCCACCTTTCCCTCCCTGGATCACTCCCAGTCCTGCGGGCACCCAGGCACCACTCCTGCTCTGCAACCCGCTACGCTGGAGCCACCTCCGTTGCTCACATGGTGACTGTCTCCATCTTGACCAGCCAGTAAGTTCACCATGCACTGGGCTAGACTGTCTGGGGGCCAGCACTGAGTGTAGAGGCCCAAGCTATGGACCAGGACCTCAGCCATCTGCCCAGACACCAGGAGGATGTGGAATACAGGCACCTGCAGCTAAGGATACAGAGGCCTGGGCTGTGCCAGGGAGGCCTGGATCTTGGGACGGTCATTTGTGTCCCGTACCCAAGCCCCGGCAGTTCTGGGCGGAGCAACTTCACTCACAAATGCATGGACTCCTCAGGAAAGGGGGTTATTTTCTCCTCATTTTGTAGACAAGGGAATTGAGACCCAGAGCACCAGGGAACTTGTCTGGGTCATGTAGCTGGTGAGTGAGAAAGCCTGGCCTCCAGGCCAAGCTCACATTTTAACCACCCTTCCACCGGGCTCCCTTCATGCCCCACGTCCCAGGTACAGACTTTCCTTAGGCTGTTGGGACACTGAGCTGAGGAAGATGCTGTCCCTGTTCAGCTGGCAGTTAAGGGTAGATTGAGAGGAACAGCCATGTCCAAGAAAGCGGAGGCTCATCCTAAAAGGAGTCCCTGGCTCTGAGAGAGGAGGCAGGCAGCAGCTGCCGCTCCCCTGGACCGTCCGGGAAGACTTCCGGTGGGGCATCATTGGAGCTGGACCTTGCAGGGTTCACTCTAGGGACTTCTCTTCCAGCAGGGGGAACCTTATGAGCAAAGGGAGTCTGAGGCCTGGTCCCCTACTAACTTCTCACACCATGTGGAGGAACTGAACCTTGATCTCATTTCTCAAGCCTTGAGGTACAGGGGTGAGGGGAAGGGGTGCTGCTGAAGTGTCACAGGAACCAGGCTGGGGCCAAATCCCATCCACCGCTTTTTAGCTGTATAATATTAATACTCAACACGATAATAATGTGCAGATGGGTAAACGGATTGAAAGGGCAGACTGTGAACCCAGAGCCCATGCCCCTCCCTGAACAAGTTCAGGGCTAAGGCCCACGCATCATTCACCCACGCATGCAGACAACACATATTTGCTGAGCACCTCTTATGTTCCAGGCACTGTTCTAGGTGCTGGGGGTACCACAGAGAGCAAAATTGGCCAAAACTCTTTCTCTCAAGAGCATCCATTCTAGAGAGGGTGATCAACCAAGAAATATAAACGCATCCCCCCACCAGGGATGCTATTAGAGAATAATACGTGGGATAATAATACGTTGCACAGGGGACTGTAAAACAGAAGTCAGGAGCACATCACAGGTGACCTGAAGGAGGAAGAGTGCTCCAGGCCAAGGGAACAGCAAGGAGAGCGTGCCTGTGTCTGGAGAGGTGGCCAGGGACCAGCACGGTGCGAGGTGGGTGGAGCTGGGCCACACAGGGTCTCGGCTCTTGTTGGAATGTGGGCTCTGGGAAGAGGAGAGAGGTGACAGGAGAGCTGGAACAGACTGCTGAGCTAAACACAAAGATCCAAAGAGGCCAGCAAAGAGGACCCTGCACTACCCAGGAGGGAGACGGTAGCGACTGACCCCGATGGCTGTAGAGGAGGCAGTGAATTCAGTGCATATTTTTAAGATGGCCCCAGGGTTCTAACTGGAGCAGCTGGAAGCATGAAGCTTCCCCTCTAGGATAGGAAGGACTTCAAGAAGGGAAGATGTCCGTATAAAGACGATGATCGAACACAGCCACTTGGTTGCTACCATTATCCCTGCGGTGCTGGATAGTAAAGGGATTTCTTTAAGTGTTTGAAAGTATGAACCACAGGACACGTGCACAAGAAAGGCGATAATAGCCACAAAACTTCAGAGCTGGAAAATAAATCCACATTTACATAAAATGAACCAGGAAAAAAGATCAGCCCAAATCTCACAATTTGACAGCACCAGTTACTTCTGGAAGTTGGGGTAGGGGACAGTTAAAATGAAGAAGATTCTTTGAAAGGCTGCTTAAGAAGACCAGAGATCTCTAGACTAGGGGACACCAGGTGCAGTGCATATAGTGGCATTCTACCGGGGACAGGGACAGTCAGCATGAGCAAGTCTGATATTGAGACCCCCATTGTCCCTCATCCTTCCGCTCTCGAGAC